ACATCTGGATCTATTAACTTGGTCATTAGATCCGTCCCAGTGTAATGCCTAGTTTAATAGTTTGTATAGGTCTAATTATGCCTATAATATAGGCTACAATTTGTATGATGATGGACCTAGGGTCTAGAAATAAAGTTATAACTGGAATTAGACCTAAAGTCTAGTACATTAGTTGGTGTAAGACATGATTTACAATCAGCCAATACAATTACAAACCACTACATTAGACCTATAATGTTTACTAGATCTAGATCTTGCCTGTTGCATATATTGCCAATCTTGCACACCAGTTAATATGTTACAAGAATCTTGTATTTTCTTTTTGTTGAACATACACTTACATGTACATTGTACTCTAGGACTTGTATTTGATTTACAAATGAATGATGAAATAGTGTAATTTACTTCTGTATGTCAATTCGGTCTCACTGTATTTCAGTGGGCGGCTTTTAAAAGTTAAAACTGCAAGTGTAATACACACAAATAATGTAACACTGTCATATTTACTTAACGTAGGGCAGTTCTGCTACATCCTAGTTGAGGGCATAATTATTAATTAATAGGTATTATAGGCCAGAGGAAATTTTGTGCCCCTTCACACCTGCGCCTGGGGCCAACTGCCCCCCTCTTGCTATGCCACTGGTGCTTGGTTGTATCTAATATTAAATATTTTAAGCCACATATAAATTCAAATATCAGTAACAAATTCGGTAATCAGTCCTATAACCATTAATATATTGGCATATCAGAAAATTACTGAAAAGTCATATTGATACACCTTTAATTTGTAACCTTTCTTACATTATTGAGGTCTTAATCCACTTTATAATTGAGATTATCCTTGACATTTAACTTCCCCAAACTGGCTGGTAACTCCTCAGCCCTTGGTGAAGGTAACCCTGCTTGCTCAGTACTTATTTTCCACTTCTCACTTGCTTTTCTTGCTGTGGTATCTAACAAACTGACAGAAGACTCCCCTGTAGAGACACTTTTTTTCTTGCATGTTTCTTTCATTATTTTTCTGGACTTCAACTTGTTTGCTGAAGGGTTTCTTGCTGATTTTCATCAATTTCCTGATTGCTTAGAATTTTGCTTTTGAGGCAACTATCTGAATTTTTTCTTGCTTTGCTTTCCCTTAGCCAAGCTTTCTTGACTGGATTTATAGGCACTGTGACTCAGCATCTGGAAGGGTTTGGTTATTTAGCTGTGCTGAGAATAACTTGGCATGCCATTCATCTTTCGTATGGTGACTATGAAAGACCTTTTTGCCATTGCTTCCATAATTTAGACATTGGTTACAAACAATGCAAAAACCATGTCCAGGAATGTCAATTTTCTGTAACCACTGTCCATGTGGCCTATTTAAAGAATATCTTTCTTTGCACCACTGCCAACATCATTTACTTTTTTTAGATATATCATTGAGGGCTGTGTCATCTCCAGGTTCCAAGAAAACTGGCACAACAAAAAGTCCATCACATAGTTATGCAGTCAATGACAGCATGGGTGAAAGAGGGCAATATCTGAGAATTAACAGAAATTACATTTGCCACTTCATGGCAAATTATGAAACTACAAAAAATTGTTTTACATGATTTATACGTATATCAATACATGTATACTAGAAACAGACTTCACCCAAACCTAGCTTGAATTTCAAATGCCTTTTACTCATATCAACGCACAAAACAGCTCACCTACAATGGAGTTAAGAACACATTCAAAGTACTACTGGCTGGTTCGAGAAATATTACTTTTCTACATGATTACTGCTTTACCTAAATATTCAGTTGAAGAGAAATTGGAACAAGTCCTTCCTCATATTCGTGTAGAAATAACATTTTCATATTAGAACATGACCCTTCTATAATAATAAAATGGCATGTCTGTGTGTTTGTGACTGCCCCAGCTCCAATACGAAAGAACCTAGAAACCTGAAATTTTGCACCCATACTAAAGAAAACTGTAAATATGGGTAAAAAAATCTTGGATAAAATGTGTCATCTATTTTGTTTGAAAACCTACATGCAAAACATGCTACTTATCTCTGCCATTTATCAGTATGTTTTTAAAATCTTTGTCAATCACTTATTTTATAAGGTGAGAATTACAAAATTTGTCATACTTGATGATAGGTTAGGCCAAATAATCTTTTATAAAGAAAAATGCATCATATTATTTAATACCACTCTGTAATGTCCTCATTTGAAGGTCCTTTTCTGTAATATTGTAGTAAGTTATAACCAGATTACAGGTTAAAGTGGTGTTAATTAAGTAAAATTATGAGGAAAAGTTAAAATATATTTTGCATATGAACATGTACTGGGTGTGGAAAATATGGAGTTTTGTGTGAGAAGACATGAAAAGAAAAAATTTGAAATATGTGGGTACCCTATAAAAAATGAATACAATGAAAAATTAAAACAGAAATCACCCAAAATTAAATTTTTCTTTATTTACTTGTCATATTAAGAAAATTACTGGAAAGCTGATAAGACTAACTAGATACCTGGAACAAGAACCAGAGGCACTTTTATCTCCAACTTCAGTAAGTTTACACTGTTGAATAAGACTTTTAAGTACTAAAACAAAGGGATTCATTTTGATTACACATAAACTGAGGATATTCTCAAGGGTAGCAAAGAAATATTGAGACACCTGAAAACAGATTTACAGGTTATGGCACATATTTGTAAGGAATATTATGAGAAAATGTTAAAATCATGATAATAAGATGATTTACACAACAAAATCTAAAGACTAAAATGAACAATACAACAGTATGCTTAAAATGTTTTGTTTTTAAGGAAACTACCAAAAGTAAATTTCATACTTTAAACAGCAACAAACCTCTTCTTGTTTCAAACATAAAAACATTATCCTAGTAACATTCACACGTGGTCTTGAGGTATTCCTGGCTGGCCCTTTCCAGTGAAATACAAACTGAGCAGTAAAAGCAATTTGTTTTATAGGATCAGACTAAATTAAAAACAAACAAGTAAAAGCATTAAGTATTTCACTCCCTAATTGTAAACAAGACAGTGTTAAAATAGGGAGAAATACTTCTATGTTCAGTGGATAATGTTGACTGGAAAACAATGAATCTGATTTGAAAACAAGATAAAAAACAAATAGGATTGGAGAGCATGAATTTCTACTTACAGGGTAATCTAATATACTGTATAAGAGTTATGCAGACTTTTAAACAAGAATTTACTATTATCAAAATCTGATAATTTGAAAGATACTACATATCTCTTTAAGATAAATATTTTTTATTAACATATCATGGTGACTTTGTAAGAAAATAAAGTCATGAAAGTTGCATTTCAGAAACCTAAACATTTGGTAAATAAGGGATTTCTGGAAAACGAGGTAAAACAAGAAATCTGCACGATAAGTAAATTATTGTTTGTGACCAAGTTATGATTCATACTAAAAATTGATTTGCTGTTTTACATATATCAACATCATCCACAAAACTTTACCTATCACAAGCTTTCCTTTTTTGGTTTACAATGCCTTGAGTGGAAAGAGAAGACCAATATGTCTTTTTTTTTTTAGACTGTATGACTACTATATTGCCACTAAACAAATGAGAACAGGTTTAAAATTATGTGACAGAGAACAAGTTATACATAATGTAAATTTACTGCTATAAATGCCACTTTTACAAGGTGGTGATTTTTGTTCAGATCAACAATGACACTTGAAGACCCCATATTCGATTTGAACCATGACTCACACAACATGAAAGACTAGGCTCTACAAAATGATTCCAGCAACTAACTGGTTTCTCAAATAACACGCTAAAAGTAGACAATCTCTACAGGTGGCTGACATAGTTCTTTGATATTAATAAACTTTTCATCTATTTTAAACCTTATTCTTTTACATACAAAACTTTTAAAGATAAGACTTTTTCACAAAGTAAACAATCCACGGGTAAAAGCACATTTCAAAATGTTCGAAGCAATTATTTTCAAGTAAAAAACTTTCCTAAACTTGCTCATAAAAAACTATGATATCTTTCAGTCAACATTTTTCTTTGAACAACTTTTCTCTTTCTCTCTAGAGATAGGTGTCAGCCTAGTGTGGACAACACACAATGATCCTGACACTAAGGTGTGCTGCCTACGGTCTAGGAACGACTACAGGTTTTACTTTGGCCACAAACCCTCAGTCTCCATGTAACAACAGCACCTCAGATCTTAGGCACAATAAAAGTAATTCATATGGTATCAAGTTCTTTTGCTTTCAAAAATTTTGTTGACGTTTCCTTTTGGCATCCATAGCATCTAAAATTGGTTGACGTTTAGCCTGATAACGTCGCCTTAACTCTTCTAGCTCACGTTCCATTTCTGCATCTAAGTTGGCCATTCTATGTGTTAAATCTTCATACGTAAGGTGTTTTAGCTAAGAAATATAAACAATAATCAGTACAGTTTTCATTGATAAGGTGCTTCATTTATAGAAGTATAAATAAGAAAATTAAATGTATGGAGAACAAACAATAATCAGTACAGTCTTCACTGATAAGGTGCTTCAGTTAGAAAAGTATAAACAAGAAAATTACATCCACGAAGTAAAAACAATAATTAGTACAGTCTTCATTGATATGGTGCTTCAGTTAGAGAAGTATAGACAACAAAATTACATCTATTAGGTACAAACAGTAATCAGTACAATCATCATTGATAAGATGCTTCAGTTAGAGAAGTATAAACATGAAAAGTACATGAATTAGTCTTAAAATTAAAATTGTTTTAGTTAGCCAAAAATAAATGATGAAAAAAAATTTAACTATGGCTTTCATTTTTAAAGTACTATTGCTACAAAAGTATAAACATTACAATGATATACATTTGGTCTAAATAGTCAAAATGCAATAGTTAGGAATGTATAAATAATGATAATGGTATTGTGTTTATAGTTAAGATGCTTAAACAAATATCATAATTTTATACCACAAGAATTTCTTACAAATTCAAAGTCTCCATCAACAAAGGACCTGGTGAATTTGGCAGGTTCATGGAGGGCTACTGCAGGAGCAGCATTGCTGATCTGGTTCAGTTGATGCTGAAGTTGGCTCAACTTAGGCTGGGGTGACTTCCCTAAATTCTGTTGAAAGTGGTTAGGTCTGGGTGTTCCACTTCTTGGCATGGGACTGCTATTACCTTGGGAGCGAGAAGGTTGCTGTTGCTCTCTCTCTTTCTTATCAAAGTGATCAAGGAAGAAGGGACGGTAATTTTCTTTTGTCTCTCCTGTAGCAGTGTCATGTCCTGTCCAATAAAAATAGTAACAAGTAATAAGATACTGATATTTAAAAAAAAACTAAACTCAGCTTTCTTTTGTGTGAAGAATAAGTCTAGGTACATTAGAAACGCTTGTAACACACTGGTGTCAATATATGACAGGTATTAGCAAGCTAAACCTATTTCACAAATAAACTCATTACCATAAACAAAACTATTTCACACGAAAACTTATTGTACAGCAAGCTACAAATAAACATACTTTACATACAAATTTATTACTTACTACTATAGAACAAACTAAAAATAAAGCTATTTCACATTAAAAACTTATTAGAATACAGCAAACTATAAATAAAGCTACTTCACATACAAATTTATTACTTTAGAAGAAACTACAAATAAAGCTACTTACATACAAACTTATTACTGAACAGCAAACTACAAATAAAGCTATTTCACATACAAACTTACTACTACAGAGCAAACTACAAGTCAGGTTTTGTATAGGAGCTAGGATTCTGTATAGTAGGTGTTAGTGATAAATTTCAACAATAAACCTCGCAAAATCCACTTGTTTTAAAATAATATATTTAAAACAAGTCAAATGTTTGTAAAAAAAATGTTTTACACTATTTGTTATCACAGTTGTATCCAGAGCTTTAAATAATTGTCTCTTTTTCAAAAAAGTCCACACAGGCTGGTTCAATTACTTTAGAACACCCTTTGACAAGACAAATTAGTCTCCTCTATCTCTGTTATTACAATACAAGCTCCAAAACTCAGTTTAGAAATTGCCCATTATGGCTAAACTCACAATCACGCAATCTAACTTCACTTTCACTAACTTGGTTGCCTATATATATATATATAATATATATATATATACTGCCAGACTGAAGCCTATAACATTCTACAAACTATGAGATGTTATGATGTAGCAATATTCACTTAAAGCAACGAGAAAATTTCAGAAGGTTTGAGTAATGCGACATCGATTCACAACAATTCAAGTACACAACAAATGATTCGTAAACAGTTACGTACACAAACCTGGGATATATTATCACTTCTAAAAATACTAAATTTAACACTAGCATTTTATAACTATCTAAATCATTACTCTTGTATTAAATTTAAATGAAAGTCGTGTATATCTAACACTACAAGTAAAGCTACTCCACATACAAACTTATTACTGTACAGCAAACTACAAATAAAGCTATTTCATATTAAAAACCTTGTTACTGTACAGCAAAGTAAAAATAAAGCTATTTCATATTAAAAACCTTGTTACTGTACAGCAAAGTACAAATAAAGCTATTTCATATTAAAAACCTTGTTACTGTACAGCAAAGTACAAATAAAGCTATTTCATATTAAAAACCTTGTTACTGTACAGCAAAGTACAAATAAAGCTACTTCACATACAAGCTTATTACTGTACAGCAAACTACAAATAAAGCTATTTCACATTAAAAACCTTGTTACTGTACAGCAAACTACAAATAAAGCTACTTCACATACAAGCTTATTACTGTACAGCAAACTACAAATAAAACTATTTCATATTAAAAACCTTGTTACTGTACAGCAAACTACAAATTAAACTATTTCATATTAAAAACCTTGTTACTGTACAGCAAACTACAAATAAAACTATTTCATGTTAAAAACCTTGTTACTGTACAGCAAACTACAAATAGCTATTTTACATACAAACATATTCTCATACGGTAAACTACAAATAAAGCTATTTTACATACGATCTTATTACCATAGATCAAACTACAAGTAGATATTTCACATACAAACTTGTTACTATATGGCAACTACAACTATAGCTATTTCACGTAAAAGCTTATTATTATAGGCAAACTACAATTAAGTACAAAATGTTTACAAGGCAACAATTCCCATAAACATATTAGCATCTATAAAAATAACATTTTCAGTAAATGAAAAGTGCTAATAACTTAATATTTAGAATTCAACAAATTCTGTTTTTAAAAACAAAAAAGGTAGTTTCAAATAAACTCCCAAGTGCTCTATTAACTTAGAAATATTTCCAGTATATGACTGAAGACACACATTTGAGTAACTCTCTCTAACTTGCATCAAGTGTACAGTATGTCTAACCATTCATATATTATTAGATAATTGAATGCTATGTTTTCTTTACATAATATGCTGTAAGTAAAATTTGCAGTAATTGACTTTATACTGATTTTTTGTGTTGCAAATTCAGTACACAATTTATGTCAGTGTTGATACAGTATTTATGGTTGTTTAACACAGGAATCCAAAAGTTAATGTAAGATATGATATTCTAAACCTTTTCTTTTTTTAGTACTCTCACAGTAAAGCACTATATCTACAATATATTTTTAACATAATAATGAATAGAAACAAATATTGAAAACAACATTCCAAAATATTAGCATCTAAGAAATTATATATATATATATATATATATATA